GGATGGTGGGATGATTTAACAAACTTGCAGCGTTATTTCAAACTGCAGCGCCGGGAGAATGTAAGCAAAGCAGCGACCACTCTGGATTGCAAGTCCAGCATTGTAGCCATTGCACCACATCGATATAAGTTGTAACTTTCTAAACTCGATTTGGAGCTTTCGTGACTGCAGGAATCACTCTTTGGTTCTTTGGGTAAAGTCACGTAGAAAGAGAAAATAATAAATTCAATAATAGCATTACGACGTTTCGATTACAACACAAGCAATCATCATCAGGTACGAATGAAAGAGAAAACAAACCTAGTAAACTTATAAATATAATGCGCCCTAGTAGGGTGTTGACTGTTATGATAGCCGACTCTCTGTGTTGTATTGCATTATATTTTTCAGTTTAGAGCTTTGTTTTCTCTTTCATTTGTATCTGATGATGTGTTGCAATCGAAACGTCGTATGCTATTATTTAATTGATTATTTTCTCTTTCTACGTGACTTTACCGAACGGACCAAATAGTTATACATTTATTATAATTCGCCGGAGAAGTTAGCTGGTGTGTAAAATGGGCTTCTCTCTGGCATGTCACCCCCCACCCCCCGCTGCACGTGAAATAAATGTTGGCCGCATCGTCGCTCATAGCTGTACTGTAGCTTTCATCTCGGGTCAACGTGACTTGCTGGAGTTGATCCTATTAACCAAGAGCGGCGCGCCCGGCCCAGACACACGCATTATACACGGCGCATGCATATGTAAAAATTGCAGAACGTCTCGCGCAGCAGCATTAAAATCCTGTTTATGGGGCTTCGTGCGATGGCCTGATGGGTAACGCAGATAGATTTGTAACTGCCGCTGAGCCACTGAGAGCCACTATAACCAGCTCTGTGTGTGTAAGTGCTTCTCTGCTATTCGCATCTGTAAACCCAGGCTGCGTACGTAGAACTCATAGAGGCAGATGTTAAAAGTGCGGGCCTGCAATTTCTTGCACACACTGCTCCATGTGAAATAAGACCCCACGAGAGCCCCCTTTAGAGGGCACGTGGCCTACTCTTACACGTTTCCTGTGACCGCCCACTCGTTGCACAATAGCTTTGGCAAGTGTAACCTATACGAAACTCCTATCAGTGGGGCCGTTCATGAGAGTCATCTGATCAATGGTATGTGGGACCATAGAAGTACTGGACAACAATGCATTTTGCTGCATTGCCCTCTGTTGCCGATGACATAGCCCCGTAGCCTCTAACATATTTCGTAGCGTGACAGTTGACCTATCCGAGCACTCCAGGCTCAGCTATGATTCGCTTCCAAGATCTGACAAGGTCGGACGTATTCTGGGTGATTTGTTGTATGCCGGCCCAATGTAAGAGCATGCTGTTATCTGTTTGGGGCAGTAGTCTGCAGCTTAAACAATTCAGAATTGATTGCATTGAATTTGGCACATCTAGCACTTATCTTTTGTAAAGCAGAGTGTGTGTGTTGTGTGTCTTTTGTCTTTGTGCATAAGCGGTGAGCGGTGGCGCAGTGGTTGATGAACCAAGTTTTAGTCCCATGGCTGACGTCAGCGGCGAGTAGCATCAGTATTGCTACATGTGCAGTCCATTGTCAAGCCACTCCTCACTGAGGTCCTCCATGCAATCTCCAATTATCACGGTTGGCTACGTACGGTGCAGAAACAAGTTCAACGTGCGTACACACAACCACGTAAAATCCCGACCGCGGGTCGACTCAGCCCATCACAAGCACCAATGCCTGCCTCGATGTCCGTTTGAGGAGGAAATCACCTTTTGAACTTTTTCGAGTGCTGTTTGTTGGTGGCCCACGTGGCTCTTTGGGCCTTTGAGCCCTGGTGCTCAGCCAGCCAACCTATGGCTCACGTGCAAGTGGTCACAGGGCCCAGTCTCCGCAACACCACGTCTCTCACTAAGCAAGCACTTTTCCTTCAACCCAAGGCTCTTGCAAATGTTTTGAGAGCGGAAAGTCACGTTGACTTGCATCCACCAGGGGCACTACCATTCAGGGAATTGTTAGAAGAAGAAGAAGCAGAAACAAACTTGACTTAAAGCTTTCGTGACTGTAGGAATTCATATTCTTTGGGTCATTCGGTAAAGTCACGTAGATAGGTTTAAAGAAAATAACCAAAAACTACGCCGTTTCGATCACAACACAAGCGGTCGTCTTCAGTGTTGTGATCGAAACGTCGTAGTTGTTTGCTATTTTCCTTGAACCTATCTACGTGACTTTACCGAAAGACCCAAAGAATAATAAATAAAAAAACTCAAAATGATTCATTATTCAATGGGAATGCTGCCAATAATCTCGAAAAGTCACCAATGTACCGGGGAAGTACATAAATTACATTGTCATTATTTTATGAAGATTAGCTTCAAAAGTTCTTCAGCTGCAGTTCACGTCACGTGAGCCCGCCATGAAGTCGTTTTAAGGATCACAACTTTACAACCTATAACACTTATAATGCACGTGTATTCCATTACACGCGGTAAATAAATACATCGTTTTGTTGCCTGTGGTAAATGATGAGGCCATATAATGGCTGTGTCGTCAATTACTCTGGAAAACATGTTGGGTGGAAAAAAAATGTGCGCAAAGCACTAATTAAACGTGAAGAAAAAAATATAAATTAATTAATAATTTAAATTATTGAGCTTTAGAGAATACAAAGTGATTTTATTTCGCAATTAAAATTTATTTCGCAATAAAATCATTTTAAAAAAACTGTATACGAGCCACGATAATCACGATATGACGATATTTAGCGATCACCGAGGACCTTGCATTGTACGTGGCACGTCTTGGGCATCGGCACATCGTGGCAATCCGAGCGCAACATTAACTTTCAGACGTAGAGCGTCACCGGCGGAGAATGACGACGCGCTGCCAATCGAACGCATTCAGATCAAGTGACGTGCTCCACGACCTCCCGGCTTTTGGCCAATAAAAAAGTTTATTCTTCCCTTCTTGTTTTCGGTTTTCACCTTGGAGCGATCTCGCAGCCGCCGTGCCGCCGTTGGTTGGGATAATCGCGCGCTCGGTTCACGTGCGGTCTCCGTTGATGCGGGGGGTGGGCGGGGGGCGATGTCAGGGTGTTCTTAATTCAATATATGCGGCTGTAACTCTAACAGGTTACAGGGTAATTTGCTGCAAAAACACATAACTCACTGGGCCGTGCCCAGGGAGCCACAAATTAGATTTTCATTATTTTACCCAAAGCAGAAGTTGCAGTTGAAGGCCGTTATTTCAGCAAGGCTGCATTACACCTCGCCATAGTTAATTATTATATTACGCTGCACGTAGCGCTTCTGGCTGTTCTCTAAGCAACGTTACAGTGCCCGTCCGGCGGAACGGGCATTGCGTAAGGATTGCGAAGTCGCGCTCAGCAAAAGTTCCTTTCGGAACTTTCAACAAAGACGTTAACGGTTCGTTGCGTTTCACTTGCGAGGGTGAGAGACAACGTTGCTGGGGGTTGGCTCGCCGCCTTATGAGGTACAAAAAAAAAAACGGGACACATCGTGGGAAGGAGGAGAAGGTAAATCTCAAAATGCCGGAAGAGAGAACTGCAAAGCAATGAACTGCAATGTGGTGTGATATTACGCAACTGACAAAAACTGGGACTTTTGGAGAGTGTGCCCTATCATCCCTCTCTTTAGTCCTCTGCCTAGTCGCTCAAACTCCCACCATTCGGCCCAATATTAAGCATTATTTATATTAATTTGCCTTGAGGCATTAGTGAAAGGCGCCTTACAATGAAATGTAAATTATTCTCATCATCATCATCATCAATTCTACGCGTCTTCAGGTTGTCAAAATGGAATTTTACTTTTTTTTGCCTCGGCCTCGTTCCCTTACAAGGCCACCAATTCCATGCCATTTAAGGATTTGCCAACTCTTTAGGGTTTCCCAAGGATTGTTCTCTCTTTCAGGAGGTAGCTGCTGTCCTGGGCAAACTGTAAGTCTTCCCGGGACATTAGAAGTCCCCATTGTTTTTTTTGTCGGTTTGTGGAATAATGCACCACTCAAGACGATGCACTGGCAATCAAGTTCTCCCGTCTGAGACTTAAAGACGTTCATCATTCGGCTGGCAAGGCCCCGTCGAGATCAGTGGCTCCGTCACAAACACCGTCGGCAGCTGGCGGCGGTCGTAGCACATGGCAGGGTGGGAATGCGCAAACTCGCAAGACCAAAAAGCAAAACAATCGTTTACGCAGAAATTCAAGCCAAACTTTAACGCGCAAAAGGATGAACACTAAACAGTGCCTGCATACAAATCAAAAACGGTGTCAACAAAATCACGTCACAGATTTTCACGAACTTACGTACAACGTCAGACGTAACGGAGCTTAGCTACAGCATTCCCAACGGTGGCACAGGCGATCCTGCAGCGTGGCCTTCACACACATGGCTACAGAAGGTCAATTTGGAATATTAAGATTGATTATGTGGACACTCCAGAGGGTGGGTGCCGTGCAAGAGAACGCTCTGGAACTAGACTCGATCTAGGAATGATCACCGGGCAGAGATCTCTTGAGTTTATTGGATGCTTTAATGGATGGAGGACGTCACGTGAATGCTGAGCTGGTTTGGTTTTAAGAACTTTGCAGGTGAATTTTGCCGAGTGGAGATCTCTGCGTAACTTCAGTGAGGCTCGACTAGTTTGGGAGTAAAACTGACAGCGATGAGTTATATGGCAAATCTGCCAGCCGTATGATGAAGAGGATTTAGTTTACTTTTGTGATATTCTTAGGTGGTCTTCTTCCCAATATATGTCCTGGTTCTTGTGCAGCTCAGAGGTTGCAACCGTAATGCTACCCAATCTACGCTTAGCACGAGGAGAGATTATAACAAAAAATCTGAACCGTTCGGGGATGATGGTTGAGGCTTGGCGTTGTGGTATAACCGTAAGGACTGAGCCTCATCATCATCATCATGATCAGCAGCAGCACAAATAACAGAATCAGAATATGTATTTAGACTGGAGGAATCCGAACCTCACCTCGCAAGACTTGATGCAATTCATGGTCGATGGGTCTGGGTACCACTTTTTCACGGCTGTGCAGATGATGTGCTGCAATAAAAGAAGGGGGTCGTTGGGGCCGGGCGGGGGAGAAAGTGGGGCGGGGTGAGCAAAATGTTTGGCAATTTCAGAGCGGCGACTTCGCTAGGGGGTTGGCGAGTTCACCGGGGTCGTGTGCCAAGTGTCCCGCACGTTCGCCCCGCATAAGGCGTGGGGGTGGGTGGGTGGGGTGGGTGGGGTGGGGCAAGAGACCGTTTAGCATTTGAGACGCTCCCCCCCCCCCCTCCTCCCAACGTAGTGGCGGACGGTCGAAGACGGACAGGACGAGAGACGCGGGTTAAATTTGTCGATGATCTAATCCGCGAACCGCCTTAAATATTCATGAGGCGAGATGAGGGATTGCAGGGGCCCTCGTCTTCCGTGGCGGGTTATCTCATTTGGCCGACGGCACTCCGCCATCCCCCAAGGACACCACCTGAATCATCCATCAACGTCTTGGGCTGAATGCGCTCACGGCAGCGGGCGCCCCGCCAAATGGCGCTGAGGCCCCCCCCCCCCCTGCCTCGACCCACCCGGCACCGCCACCCCCCCAGCCCCCCCCCCCCAACCCACCACCACCACCACCACCACTCGTGCTTTCTGTAATGCGCGCCCTAATGAATGTTCCCGGGCCGTGCTCTCTGCCCCGGCGCCGCACTGGAACTAAAAAAAAAAACAGGGAGCGGACCGAGAAAGCAAACGAACAGACGAGGAGTGCGGGAGTGAGCATCTTCCTTCATTCGTTTAGGCAATGCATCCCTCCCCCCCCCCCCATCTCTTGTATAGTGTATAGCAGTGTAAAGTGTAGTATGTATGTTGAACTTATTTCGCACCGTACGTAGCCAACCGTGCTAAACACAAGAAGCAGTTCTAAACAAATCAGTTTTCAATCTAGATTTAAAAGTGCACAGCTCCAGTGGCTTCCTAATATTGGAAGGAAGAGCCTTCCAGACGGACGCAGAAGCGCATCTGAAAGCGCGCGATGCGGTAACCGTCTTTGTTCGATTGCTAGCCAAGAGCTGCTGCGAGGATGACCGGAGTTTGCGTGAGAATGGAACTCCCTCCCCAGGCAACTCTGCCTGGTCCCCTCTCTCGTTTTCAAATCTCACCTCATAAACTCCCTCTTCAACTCCCTGCCTTTTGCATCTCCTGATTTGTGCTCCCCTTATCTCCTTCCCTTGCTCGGTCACATTGTGACCTGTCGCGTGAAGTTTTGTCTTCCGAGACATTTGTTCTCATATGGGCGCATCACTAATGCGACTTGTTGTTGGTGGGTGTCCCGTGACCTAAGTCCCATGGAACGATTTGAATACGAGGGCGAAACGAAACGACGCGATGACCTTGGATGTTTTAACTCGACTCCCAAAAAAATATACAGCAGCCCGTTCTTTCAATCGCCTAGGTTTTTTTGGGGGGAGGGACTGACATCTTGCTCTGATGATTAAAATAAGATCGCTAAATCAATTTTTTGCCGAACCCAGACTAAGCGTTAAGAATAGGTTCCTCTTAAAAACGGGACAATTGGGATTTCCCGTCCATCATTTAGTTGCCGATAAAATGTCCACTTACGCTCTAAGTAGATCAATCCTTAAAGGTTTACTGCGCATTTTGAGCGTCCGATTATCATTGCGCGGTGTACTGTCTGTTGTGAGTTCAGTGTTGAGACAGGTAAAGGATTTCCATCGAATCTCATGCACCTACATTTGTTTTGATCAAAAACATAATTCCGGCATGGCACAGTGATACCACTAACCACAGAGCCACAACCCCTTATTCGAGGATATTATTCGGCGTGTGCTGGTTGACAATTTTATTTTTGAGGCCGAGATGACTCTCCCTGCAGATTCACGCCAAGGAAAGCCAGGCCTCCTTTAGTATCGTGCTCACTAATCGTAAACCAAACATCTCGGTTCCCTTCACTCCCCCTCTTTACGCCCCTATCATGCCCAAGACACAGAGCAAAACTTGCATCTGTACCTAGCTCTTTTGTGCTGGCACCTCTTGCTCCCGCGTGTTTGTGCTGTTTTTTGTTTGTACGCCGTTTGGCATCCTCTGGTCTAACACCGTTTGAGACGAGGCTCAAAAGAAAGCTGTCTCTGGTGTGGACCAATCAGTGTCAAGGACAATGCCATATGTTATCAGAGTATGTTTTTGTTTGCATTCTGACCACAAGCATTGTGGTTAATGCAGACATGATTCCTTGTAAAAGGTTTCAGTTTGGTGTTTTTAAATTCTTAACACTTGTTTTGTTGCCAGAACGTCACTTATCACCTTTCTTAGTCGTGCAATACTTCCTTTAAGGACCCTGCGCTCGTTCTCGATAATATCGATGTGTTTGTCTTTCGTTTTTGTTGTTGATGTGCTCACGCAGCACCCCGGAAAATCTCCCTTTGTAGAATAGGCGAGCAACTGGCCTGAACGGGATCGTCCGTGTAAAAAAATAAAATCAACTCAAACTCGAGCCAGAAGCTTCAACCTTAGTTCTATTCTAACTCCTAACCTTGTACCTTAAAACCTCGACCCTTAACCTAAAGCCATAGGCGGCGTTTGACTTCTATATTTCGGGGAAGGTGAGCAGGGGTTTGCATTGTTCCTCACATTAGGAATCGGGGGTGCATATCATTTTTCAAAATCTTAATTGTAAACTGCTGAAAATAATTAAACAAAGGTGTCCGGTTTTAGCGAGGTATTGGCCACATCCCCGTGCCCCCCACACAAACGCCAACCCCATGCCTAACCTCTAAACCTTTAACCCATAATCCTTTAACCCTACACACCAAATAAGGAAGTGGCCTCCCTTCAATAAATCGTCAAGCAATTGCTGAAGAGGCAAGCATTGGAAAGGACCGCTTGTGGTTAAGCAGGACCTGCGGGTTGTCTGTGATCAGATACAATTCTGCTTTGTGATTGGAAATAAAAATCTGCTCGAGAGCCTTGCCAGAGCCTCGGGTCTTTTTCTCTCTCTAACGCATTTTAAGGAACGGGGAGCGGTTTCTAGTTTGTTTCAATATGACCACTCGGCCCAGATCTATCATGAATCTGATTCTGAACAAGTCCAAATCTAATCCATGATTCTAAAGTATGTATCAGGATTTGTCGCTTTTCCTTGATCCAGCATAGTTTGGATGAGATTTAAATTATAGTGAACGCATGGGTCAAACCATACGTGGCATTGAGAGTGTGTGAACCAATTACAGGATTGAGAAAAATGGATATGCATCGATTGTAAATAATCATGATGTCGATGGTGATAATGATGACGCTTTAGAATGTGACATTTTTGTGTAAATGTTACATTACACCTCATGAGAAAAATAAACAAGCATGAAGACAGAACAAATTAGACATAAAAAAATACGACAACAACGAATGATGTTTGAATCGACACATGATTACAAATCATGACAGAGTGCATCATTGCGTGTCTAAGTTCTTTAGTTAGTGTGAAGAAATTGGAGTTACAGTGATCTGTATGGCAGGAAATGATTAAATCACGTTTGCTATTCCATAACCAACGACGGGTAACCAAACCGTTACTTAACTTTTTCTTATTCACAATCAAAATGATGACGTTAATGTTTAGGGTTTATAAATGTATATACAGTCAGCGTTATTAAATTGTATCTTCGTCCCCACACCGCATCGCGTTACATTCTGCTCAAACACCGCGCTGCGTGTGCAGAACTGGAACGCGCGCGGTTTCGGTGACGCACTTCCCGGCAGACTTGAAACTTTTCGGCGTGCGCGAGAGGCTAAAGCTCAGGCGCGATCACCTGGCCGCGCTGCCTGCCGTTGTCGAGACGTCATGTCACCTGGATTCGAGGCACGCTGACCCAGTAGGGCAGCTTCTCCGCCGACGTGTTCACCGGAAGCACCACGGGGTCGTGCATCGGTTTGTTGCAGCTCGGGTTGCACTGAGCACCTGGCAGGTAGACACGAAGGTGAAGGTCGTGCGAGCCCTTGCTAACGCACCACCGCTGGCGGAAGGGCCTCGACTGGGCGCAGCTCCAGAGAAAGGCCCTCTAGGTCGGTGGTTCCTCCTGCCCGTGACCCGCTGACCACGACTGCGGTCCGCAAGGCGGTCGGCAAGTGGTCTGCAGAACTGTTCCAGATTTTGAGGTGTTTTTTTTATTTTTACACTCCCCGCACTGCACAAACCTTTTGGATCGGTCGATAAAAAGTGAATCGTTTCCATGGCCTTGTTATAGTTTGTTGGTCGATAAAAAGCGAATCGTTTTTCTGGCCTTGTTATAGTTTTTCATGGGTCGACAGTCGTCTGTGTGTCTATAAAGGTTGGGAACCACCGCTCGCATTTTAGCCTACCCTCCCAAGCTGGCCAGACGTCTTGGAAGAGGTGGGAGTGCCCACACTTTACCCCGCCACGTACGCCCCCCCGGGCCGACTTAATGTGGTGAACACATTTCTACTATAGGGTGGACAGAGGCTGGAAATGAGGGCGGGTTGCGGGATCCAGGAAACCTGCACCATTGTGTGCAGATGGCAGGTGTGAACTCCAATCGCTGGATCGTCAATCAGCTGAGCCCCCCCCCCCCGCTCAGACACCCCCCCCCCACCCCCCCGGATTTTGATCGCAAGGTATTTGGAATCACCCCTTGTCTTCGTCCCACATGGTAACCTACCTATTTTGTGGCCCTGGTCGCACATGAAGAGGACTGTGCCACTTGACTCCGGAGGGGAGCATTCCCCGTTGAGGTTTGGGCACTGGCGGAGTTGGCCCTTCCAAACGCCGTTCTTTGTGCACCGCTGGGAGCTGGAACTCTGGCACGGCCACGCGCAGGAGGGACGGGTATCGTTTCAATGCGTCGCTCTTTACTCAACGAGGCGAGATGCAGTCGATATTTAACGTTGAACTTGTTTCGCACCGTACGTAACCGACCGTGATGACCGGAGGTGTTTCTTCATAACCAGTTCTGGACAGCACTCGCCAAAAATGTTAGCAATGGCTTGTTTTACAACTCAACCTTATGAATTAGTTCTGAACCGACAGCATAACTTACAATATTTAAAACGTAAAAGCAAACACTGCTAGTTGCACGATTATGACATAATATAATTTTTCAAAGCACTAACTTAATTGGTGATTAGCTATTTATTTATAAACTTACATTTTTGAGTTTGTTATTTATGAAACGTTTGGTAAAGGAATTTTTTTTTGCATGAAAAAGAAAATAGTTGCAACTATCACGTCGAAGCAATTTTTTGCAAAATGCAGGACACAATTAATGTGCACCTTTGTATCGTATCGTAAATTATTGGGTGATTGTACAGCGTTGGAAGTGGTGCACAATAACAAAATAACCAAAATAAACCACACGTTCGTCAATAACACTGAGGCATTAAAGGAAAAAAATATCTAATGGGCAATGTTTCGGGCAAATGCCTTTCTTCACCATAGCACGCAGATATCGAATTATATTTATCATATGATATGTCATAATATTGCCATATCGCGGCAACCCTAAAGTGGACCGTCTCATTAATGGGGTCACGGTGGATGGGGGTGGGTGGGGGGAGATTCTCACCGCCTTGTCCTTTCCCTTGCAGGTGATGGAGCAGCGGCTGCCAGCCTCAAACCCCCGTGTGCATTGGTAGAGTCCGTGGAGAATGGTCGGTGGAGGCTTGCAGAGCACTGGAACGCAGCCTCCCTCCTCCCACCGGCCATCCTCCGTGCAGCGCACCTGAAAGTTCTTCCTGTGAACATCGTGAACGCACACGCGGGCATGTAAAGGGGGGCACGCGGGGTGGGCGCTGGCGTGATCGTCGACGAGTTCAGGGGTCTTTCGTGGGTTTGAGCGCCACCGTTTTCACGCGAGCGACGTTCAGAGTTATTTCTTTATAGTCGCTTTCTTACCTTTTTTTGTACTTTGCACTCCTATTGTTGTTTTTGTATTGTTTGTTGTCAATTTCTGACCCGCCCCTACTGGACATCTGTAAAAAAAAAAAAGAGCTTCATAGCTCATCGGATTTCTCCTGGATGAATATAGATTTTGAATCTCATTCATTTTTATTTTGTTTAACCAGGCGGTGAGAACTCAAGAGACCAGCATAGAGCGTCATATGCTAGAGTTACCTTGGTAATAAAAAAATAACAAAAGCAATAAAATAAAGTACAGCCACATCGGGGGTGTTTCATCAAAGGTTATTGACTGTTCAGTGTATACGATACCACGTGCTGGCAGTCCTTCGATGTATTCACACAATTCTGAGTGACCATTCAATTCAAGAATGTGTCCTCTCTGCGTCCTGTCTTGTGTGTTCCTTGCTATCGTTTGTCTCACTTGCCCCGTCGCTCACATACGTGTTCTACTATCTCTACATTATGTCATCTCGTTTTATCCACCTTCATTTTCACGTCATTTGGCATCTGTAAGCGTACCGCCCTTCCTCAATCAACTGCTAGATGTAAGTCTTCCAACATCATGCGGGTTTGGAGGGAGTTTAACCATATGCACCATAATAGTCTGGGTTTGTTAAAAAAAATACACGTAAGGCCCCCTGAGTCAAGTAACTCTTTTTCAGAAGCGACCTGGCTATCACAAATGATTATTTGCACGGTAAGGTTAGGTTTTTAACGCGAATTCCACAGATTTCTTGCAATTGTGTCAGCGCAAATATGCACGTTCAACTTCTCTATCAATCGTACGCAGCCAACCGTGCTAACTGGAGGGAAGGACAGCACACAAATCAGCTCTAAAGAAATGAGTTTTCAATGAGAAACAAATATGTAACCATCTACGAGTGAATACGATGCAGGACACGGAGCTATTGCTGCCATTCTTTGTGAATACGGAAGCATCTGTCATGGGCCGCCAAACACGAGGACCCGCACCATCAAATCTGTGTCAGATCAGCTTGTTTAAAGTGTTTTTTTTCCGTATTGCGATCAATACATCACTTTATCTGCAAAAGCAGTTAATCGATCGCCCTATCAATTAATCTATCAATCTATCAGCGAAAGGAAGTGGTGGTGGGGGGGTGGAGTGGGGCGAGCGAGCGAGCGAGCGATCAAATCACTGCACACAAAAGCCGGATTAATTAGCTGAAATATGCAGAACGATTTCCGTCCACTGACTTGACCCCGCGAGCTAAGCCGTCTCCTGCAAGCCCACCTCGACCTCACCCGAACGGCAGCTTCAGCAATGCGCCGCGCGTGACCGCATCACAGGCTCTGTTTGTCGGTGACATCATCGCCGAGAGAGGAGAGAGCGAGAGAGAAGAGAGAGAGGCAACACAATTTGACGCGCCGTTTGAATCGAACTCCCTAACCTGATCAGCCACTTACGCTAAAAAAGCTTAGCATCGACACCGCTCGCCAGGTTAGGCTGATGCCTCGCGATATAGATCACGGAAAAACCTGAGCCCAGCCCAAAATCCGAAAACTATCCCCCCGCCCCCCTTCCATTTCTCTAATTGCCTTTTTGGCCACTGATTATTTCTCAATGACGATGATTAAATATTCCTTCGGTTAGGGATTGTGATTTTTTTAAATGTGTGGCTGCAGAGCTTCTGTAAAATATGTACGCTCCTATAGCAGTAGAATATATATATTTTAAAAAAGAATGCTTCATGGTGCTTTGTGAATCCACTGCTGGATGATGACCCCCTCCCCTCCCCCACCCAACACCGTATAATTAATGGGGTTTGTTTGATTTCACTTCAGCATGCGGGTGAAACAGGGGCGCATGACCCGGTTAAGAGGTGTCACTCACGAACCAATGTTAATAACACAATAAATAAAACATATAACTCGCTTAATCTACTGCCGGATGAAAGCCTCCCCAACTCCCGTGTCGGTCATGGGTTTTGTTTGACCACACTTAATTATGCTTATCAGTACGGGTTCGTGAAGGGGAGAGAGACCCAGAGCCGATCCGGATATCGCTCGCCACTGATGTCAGCCGTGGACAGGAATAGAACTCAGGTTGTCGGCTTCAGAGTGGAGTGCACTAACCACCCCTCCCACCAGGCAACGGTATAGAGTACTCACATTTAAATAGTTGTTCATGGAAGATTTGTTTTTTTGTGGCTAAATATGTTATCCATTGAGTGGTTTCAAAGCGTGTCTGCAAAACCAAACGAAACCATTGTGCCCAATTCGCGCATGTGTTTTCCTTAACGCGCTTTTCATGAATAAAAACAATAACAACCACGGATCAATGTTTTTTTTAAGAATGCAATTTTTGCCAATTACACGCCCTGTAAGCGTGTAAAGACTGAGCGCTACATCAGTCGAGACGAAAACCCATTGAAAAATTATAACTGCTAACGTGGCACGCGGTGGCCTTTCGGAAGTTCAATTATGGGTGCCGTGTTAGGAAAAAAAAATATGAAGCCGTTGTAACTTTCAATAATTAACGCGCAGAGCGGGCGGGACGAGTGCTTGGCACAGTCCCGACGCATCTCGGGCAAAACAACGCCAGGCCGGCAAACACCGATGGGTTTAATCTTGATTTGAAGCTTTCGTGACTGCAAGAATCCATACATTTTGGTTCTTTCGGTAAAGTCACGTAGGTGTAAAAGTAATAGATCACGACGTTTCGATCGCAGCACAGGCAATCGTCATCAGGTGGGACGACCACAGCAAGAAAAAAAAAAACTGTTCGCCTACTTCAGCAATTTTTTTCTTGCTGTGGTTGTCCCACCTGATGACGATTGTTGGTGTTGCGATCGAAACGTCGTGATCTATTATTTCTTCTACCTACGTGACTTTTACCGAAAGAACCAAAGAGTACCGATGGATTTGTAGCCACGGGGCGGCAGGGAGGGAAATGGTGCCGTGGTGTAACGGGCAGTACACCGGACGTCCGATGCAGAGGTCGCCGGTTCGAATCGCTCTCCTCTCCCTCGTGGTGCAAAGGTTCTTAAATCCCCGCGTCCTCGTTTGATCGTCTCCCATGCTACCTCTATGAAGTCTGTCAACCCATCCTTGTCGCCTTCTTCGCTTCATTTGGCCAGGAGGATGTTTTCCTTCGTTCGACTCTTCCGCACAAAGCGCTTCGTCTCATCACCTACGGTCTCTACTCTTCAAGGGAGCTGTTGCACGTATGTATGTTGACCTTCTTTTGCACCGTACGTAGCCAACCGTGCTAATTGGGAGGTACGTTGGAAGGACAACAAACTAAACACAAAAATCAGTTATAAAGAAAGACATTTTTTATCTAAATGATTTAAAAGTGCATAGCTCCAGTGGCTTCCTAATATCGGAAGGAAGAGCGTTCCAGACGGCCGCAGAAGCACATTTTAAAGCGCCGCGGGATGCGGTGACCGTCTTTGTTCGATGGCCAGCCAAGAGCTGCTGCGAGGATGACCGGAGTTTGTGTGATGGTGGTGTAATGGTCAGCACGCTGGACTTGCTAATACAGAGATCGTAGGTTCGACTTCATCTTCTGGTGTGGCAGTTTAAATATTGGGGAAAGTTTTTTTCTTGAATCCACCTCCCCATTGCCTCTGTCCACCCAGCAGTATAAATGCGTACAGCCGCGGTTAGTCGATCAACAGGGTCACACGTGGTGGGAAGAAGTGTGGGTACTCCTACCTCTCTCAAGACATCTCGCCAGCGTGGAAGTAAAGGCCAAACACCCTCTCGAAGGGCTGTCCAGTGGGGACCCTTCTGCCAGCAGTGGTGCGAGCAAGCAATTGCAGGGCTGTGCCTTTACCTTCGCAGTCACAATTATTATTTCCAGGCGAGGGAGTGACTGGAGAGAAGGTGAATGATGCATTTGCAGGCTATTTCCCTGTTGCTCACTACCTACTGTGAAGTTGCCATTTAAAGACCTGCTGACGTCGTTCACGAGACGTGGCTCTCATTCGCTGCATGCCGTCCCAAAATTACGGAAAAAATATTTGCGTCTCCCTGGACAAATAACACCGATGGTCAGAGTGCGTCACGCGTGGTTGTTTTTTGTTTGTGTTTGTTTATTTATTTGTTTCCCAGGCTCTGAAACAAACGAGGTGAGAAGTTGCTCGCGCGAGGCATCGGAAATCTAAGCAACAGCTTCGGGCTCCCAAGCAGCCGAAGGGGCCCCAGGTTCTTGAAAATCGAGATTGCGCCACATATCAGCTCAAAATTCCAGCACCTAATACGCGCGTGTGTACGGTGAACTTATTTCGCACCGTGCGTGGCCAGCCATGCTAATCGGAGGTGCGGGGGAAGGACAACAAGCCAAACACAAAAAGCGGTTCTAAAGAAATGAGTTTTCAGTCTAGATTTAAAACTGCATAGCTCCAGTTGGCTTCCTAGTATCGAAAGGTAGAGCGTTCCAGATGGTCGCAGAAGCCCCTATGAAAGCGCGTGATGCGGTGACTGCCTTTGTTAGATTGGTCGAGTTTTAGAAACTCCATGGATGTATCTTGTGTGTATGTTCATACGTGCATGTGCGGCTATTTGCAAATGATCGTTCACGTGGAATGTGCCCAAGGACAACAAACTAAAAACACACTTTCACAAAAACCCGTAAAAATACATTTGACAACATAAAACATGGAATTAATCCCTCGTCTCTGTCTGACCTCCTGATGTCTTCTTGGATGTCTGTCCCATGTCCACAGCTCTCTCTCATATCACCATATTTCTGCCTCGTCTGTATCTTTCATCCCTTTGCACCTCTATCCGTTGTCCACATTTATCTCATCTGGCGAATGGCTCGTTCACTACGAGTGCTTTCTAAGTACGGGACTGGTGACTCTGGTAGCGCATGCCTTGAAATGCATGGTCAAATTGTGTCGCTCGATCATCACTGTAACCCTGCTAGGCTGGCCTGGAGTGGAAACTAACAGAGGAAGGGCACTGCCATAAAGGTACGAGGTACCGCCTGTCCGCATCACCCTACATTGTAACCGATATTCCAAATCATCCTACGAAAGGGTCTAAAAGAAAAATAAATACGTGAACAACACGCGCAGCGACTGCTGCGTTGCGCCAGAGCAATTGGCGGAACAGCGTTCTGGAGTGTTCCGCATGATAAAAATTACGGTAATCGCGGCCAACATCAACGATCAACAACGTGCCGTGCGTTTCCCCCGCGCTCAAACAAGCCGTGCCGCGGGGCTGCGTCCAACCCGTGGCCGGCGGTTCCGACTTGCCGCCGGTGTGTCGGTGTCTTCGCGTACCGACCCCACCACCCCCACCACCCCGCATCCCCGCACCGCGCCACCACCACCACTTGCCTCTTGCCCTTTCCGCCGGCGATGCGGTATCCGGGGCGGCAGCGGAACTTGCAGACGGAGTCGAGCTTGTGGGTGCCGTTGGCGCACTGCGACGTGCGCAGCTCGGCGTGCGGCAGCGCCGGCGGCGGCAAACACACCAGCTCGCACGACGCCTCCGGGTGCGACCACATGCCGTCCGCCAGGCACGCCACTGCCGTGTTGGTGCCTGCGCGCGGGAGCGGCACGGCGCAACACGGATGAAGTCTCCGAGCTCCCCACATACCGTCTTCATATCTCGTGGTCTTACGATGCAGCGGTCCGTCCGGGCTCCCGCGCACGGGGGTCAATCCCGTCGCTCCGTCTCAAGCCGTGTGTGTTCCGAGCGCAATCAAGCGTCGGGGCCAACGTTGGCACGTGGTTGAAAGTATCGGGACCAACGTTGGACGAACGTTGACACGTGGTGCGAGCTTTTGGATGGACCAACGTTTTCGCATTCACCGGGAAGCCAAGATGGTCGCCGCATCGTGCGCATTCAGACGCGCTTCTGCGGCCGTCTGTAACGCTCTTCCGATAATATAAAGCCACTGGAGCTGTGCATTTTTAAATAATCTATCGTGAAAACTAATTTATTTACAACTGCTTTTTGTGTTTAGTTTGTTGTCCTTAACCCGCACCTTCGATTCGCACCGTTAGCTACGTACGATGCGAAATATGTTCAACATTCACACATTAGGGCGTCAAAGTCTGCGACCCAAATCATGCAGAGTGGTGCACCCTCCCTCTACCCCCCACTGCACTCCTCAATAGGAAACCTGGACAATCACTTGTTCGCAAACACTGGCGCAGCCAGTTGGGGGGGGGATGTGCCCCCCCCCAATGATCCGATCGAAATCCCTAATTTCGATCGGATCTTTGAGGTTTATTAGTAATAAATCGGCATTTTGCGACCCCCACTGCCACTGTGTAGTATTTTATTACGTGCAGGGACTCTATGAGATGATAGGACAAAAATCTGAGTCCATAATTGGCAATAAGTAACGGCAAAAACAGTTATAAGTGACTCACAGAATTGTGCGCAGTTGCGTATACAGAGTCCACGACTTCCCTGAAGGCAAACACCTTCAGCGAGCGCGATGCCGATCACACACCGCGGTTCGAATTCGACCCTCCATCGATGGCTGCGACATCGCCGCACACGCGTCGAATTAAAAGCACGGGACAAGTCCTTACTTGCTAACAACTCCTCTATCATTTTTCATTGCTGGAGGGGTTGCCCCCCTACCTGAAAATCCTGGCTACGCCTTTGTTTGCAAACATCGTTTTTGAAACATATTCTGAGCCAGCCGCTCACCGCGTGGCACATTTGCCATCTGCCTTCTCTAACCTACACTGACCACGGTGGTGAAGTATGGCACCCCCCATCCATTGGAGAATTGTTAAAAGGGGCTGGTCATCGGCCGTAGCCGATAACCAAATCGTCCGCAATGCCGCGGGTCTCATCACATCTTCCGAAGCTAAAGGTGGTTGAACCTGAGACTTGGATCGAAACGGGGGTGGGGGAGGGAGGGGGGGGGGGGTGGCACCACCAAACGCGACAGGGGGCCCATCGCAACCTCACCCTTCTGCTGGGCGGGTGGGCGGCACTGGAAGGAGCAGGACTGTCCACGCGCGGTGCCCCGGGGACACGAGAACGCGGCGTGCGGGACGAGCGAGGGGTGCGGGTGGCCGCAGTCGACGGGACGGCAGAGAACCTCCCCGCTCCAGCGCTCCGAGGCGCACGCCAGGGTCACGGACTCTGCCGGGCTCGCCTGCCGGGTGCGGTTGCGGCGGGAGGGGAGGGCAGGGGACCGGTCACAGCGTTAGTTTCACCGCGTAGGTTTTGGCGGTCGCGTGCCGCGTGGCTCTGCGGCGTGTTCGCCGTTTGGCGGGGCCCACGTTGCGCTGCAGGTGCCGAGAGAAATTCAATTAAATTCCCGAAGAAGAAGAAGAAGAAGCACTCCGAAGCCCGCGGAGTGAAGCGTCAGCAGGGCAATGCATGCCGAGGGCGGTGATTGAACGCTGACCGGGATCAAAATTGTGAGAGAGAGGTGGACGACAAGGGGTGTTTGTTGCAGTGCTTTTGGAAAACTGAACTTGATGACATGAATCATTAATGTGAGGTTTTTTTCCCCTCCACATTTTAATTGTGTTCGTGCAACTACTCGCCATCGCAAGCAGCAGCAGCATCACCAAATATATTGCATCAACAGCGACGGTTGTCGCTGCCCTTTGCTGAGCAAACCATCACGGAGTTATAAAACCAGAAGTTCCCTGGTTTTGATCTTCCATGAGGGCTCATTGTCCACCCTAAACCGCATCCGCACAAACCATGGCAAATGTCTGATGCACAAATGGATGATAAATACAAAACCCTCCAGGAGTGTGCGACTGTGGCCACCAAGAACAGACCGCACACAACGTTTAACAATGCAATGCCCCGATCCACAAATACGAAGGGCAGACGTCACAGCGACACGCTGACTCCGCTGGCTCCTGACGTGGTCGTCTGGTTTGACCACCTCAATGTGAAATTGTCATTGTTGCTCTCCATCTATATTAGCAGCCATACGAAAGAAGAAGAAGAAGAAAAAGAAGAAGAATCATAAACATGGAAATTTATGATAAAAAATAACAAAGTTACATCGCAAAGGCAAAATAATTACACAGAGGGATATAAACTGGAACACATGGATCTGAGAAGTTGCCTCTGTTAAGCGAAAATTACGTACAAATAGCATCATGGTCCAATAATTATTAGGACTGACTCAGCCACTCATTTGGCAGTGGATGTTTAATGATGTACCGAGGTGCATGCAATGTTGTGTCAGAACCAAAATAAAATGCTTGTAAACAGAAAAGGGTTTTTAGCTCGACCCGCTGTCTTGACTGCAGCGATACGAGCTTTCCAGGAAACATCTCATGAATGTGCCGTCCTCTGCAAAGGTCATTCCGTCGGCAGGCTCACTGTTGCGCGGAGAAACCTAAAACACCATCAGTGTAATTGTCCATCGTGCAGCGTGGTCATTACGCGTGCGCTAAAAGTGTGCAGAATTGTTTGCATAGAATAAAGCGGATGAAATTCATGCACACATTTTCATTTGATGCCTCTAAAAAGGCAGCTTGGTCGACGTTATCACTCCATTTTGTTTCAAATACCGGCGCAAAAAATCTAAAGCTCCCGCTAATTGCAGCGAAAGCAGCTCAATTTTCTTTTCCAGCACCATTATTATTACGTGTATGTCAGGACCAAAAGTTAAAGATTCCGTATCGCGTGCCACTTGCCTGGAAACTATGACATATCCCTGCGTGTGCTGTGCATGGCGGCGCTCGTTGCAAAGACAACAAAAGCGCTGCAGCAGTGAAATGTTTAAAGTGATGATGTCATTTTTCCACAAATAGCCATCTCATTCGCGAGAATGGATGGATTTTTTTTTGCTTCTCAAATCCATGAGAGCAGATTGGCGTTGTGGGGGGGGGGGGGAATTGGGAAGCAGACAGAGAGAGAGAGGGAGAGAGAGAGAGAGTGGAAGGCAGGGAGGAAAGGAGGGAGACCGAGAGAGAGAGAGAATGACAAGCGTGCATGCTGTGTATTCCTGATAGCTAAATTACTTTCAAGTCGGGTCTATCTGACATTTTTACATTTTCATCTTTTTTAACTAAATTGCACATGCAGGTACACTCACTGTGAATCAGCCTTATTGATGAGACATCATGCGCCGTGTCTGCTCGCGATCCTGACGCAAATCAACGCGTGCGTGCGCGCTTCTGCCTGCGCGCGGGATAACGTCATCGTCGTTTTTCCAAATTTAAAACAAAAATGACTTTGGCTTCGCAGGAGACGGAACATGATACGGGCGTAGGTGGGGGAGGATGGGACCGAAAGTCCCTTGCAAACCTTGCAGAATGAGTACCTAGCCATCCATGATCCCAATCAGCTAATCGCAAACGCTGGCATACTACTAATGCTCTGGGCAGTTGTTTTCATTTGCATATGTTTAGGCTGTGATTTAATTGAAATGCGTTACACTCTCTTACGAAATTTCCACTGCTCCCCCTTTGCATTCCCTGCTCCCATGAATCCTCCTTCCACACACTCATTGACAGGTACCTGCATATATTTACTCAGGCCAAATTAGGGTCTTAATTTATTCTTTATTATTTCCGGAATGAACAAATGTTGTATGTATGTTGAACTTCTTTCGCACCGTACGTAGCCAAACGCGCTAATTCGAGGCGTGGGGAACAGACAAGAAACTAAACACAAAATGCGTTTCTTAAATTAGTTTTCAATTTTAGCTTGTGACATGACCCCAATTGGAAGACGATTCTGGAGAATTGTATGAAATTGTTTAATGTAACATGGTAGAAGTGCATATGAAGATGCCAAATAGAGAGGGTGGCAGGCATAGCAATAAAGGAAAGTTCTGAGGTTGGATTGAACCATAATCTGAATCAGAATATGTATTTATACTGGAGGAATCCAATGAGCTGTAAATCTCGTTTTTCACAGTAGGGACACGGGGTTAGAACGTTACAACAACAAACGATACAAAAAAACACGATAGGAGTGCAAAGTATATGAAAGGTTATCAAATCACTTTAAATACAAATAAAGCTAAACTATGTGTTTATTACCAGGTAAAGCCCACTGAGCTATGAACGTATTTTCAGAAGAATTGGGCCACAAATGTCAGCTGAAAAGAAGTGGCTTATCGCGTGAAAATTGACGGCAGCAAAATAATATAAAGGTCTCTGGGTTGTGGATTTCCATGCGAAGGAAATTCCAGACCAGTGGGTGCAGTGGCAGAGAAAGTGTGATCTCAAAACCAAAATAAATTAGCGTATTTACCTCAACCAAATCATGCTCATTGAAAGGTTGCATGAGCTCCAGGAGCAGCCTTGAAAGAATTGTGTGATAATCTGAAAATAAATTGTATGGTAATCTGAAAATAATTGTATAGTAATCTGAAAAGGACACAACTGGAAAAATTACATCTGCCTATGCGCAACTCGGAGAGCCGTTGGCAGTCCGACAGAAACAAAATGGTAAAATATAGAGGTGGAAGAGATCATGTTGGAGGGCTTTGAAAAAAGTGGGTTTGGTCATGAAAAGTTAAATACCAATAGAGTACCCCGAAAGAAGCGCGTGTTTAATGTGTGCGTACTACCTGTTTCACAGACACGGTCTTTAACAACAAAATACAGAACAAAAAGTGAAAGGTGCCCAAAAAGGAAATGCGGAGAGATGCACGCCCGGAATTACACTGGGAGACAGAGGAACACACGGATTACGAGGACATGTGCAGGACAATGCCGTCATTAAAAGTGTAAGGAAAAAATGTAGGTTGACTTGCGCAGGACATGTTGCAAGAAGGGATGATGGCAGATGGTCAAGAATAATAACGGAGTGGAAGCCAAGGAATTTTAATACGCCCGAGAGAGCGTCCACTGAGGAGATGGCGCAAATTGAAAGCGGCACGTGCGGGCAGGAAAATAACATCGCGGCGTCTTGGCGGAGGCCTTCATCCAGCAGTGGATTGACCACGGCGGACGACGACCACGACCGTGCACCGCGCGCGTACCTTGCTGACGTTGGTCTCCTTCTCCCCGCGCACGTACAGCTGGAAGCCGCGGTTGCAGGTGACGGAGCACCGCTGGCTTCCTGGCGTCATCCCCTGCCGCCACGCCACGCCGGAGTCGCGGGCCTCCGGCTCCTCGGCACCTTCGGCCCACGCGGTCTGCACCCCGCCGTCACGTCCGCCCAGGGCCTCTCCGGCGTCGCCGGTGCAGACCACGGCGCCGTTCTCCACGTGCGGCCGCGCGCAAGGTGACTCCGGCATCTCGCAGCTGCAACACAAGGTATAGAGGCAAAGGTGTGTCCCCCCCCCCCTCCTCCCCCCGTGTAAACCTTCACACACTGTTGGGGCAAGTGCAGTTACTGAGCAGCTAAGATGAAGGCTGGTGCGGTATAGGCGTTGGGGTGGTGTGGTCAGCAACCATCCCCGTTCTCCTGCTTGCACACTGCACCAGGTACTCATTGAAGTCAACCTGGAGGAGGCCCGGGACAGGTCCAGACAATTGACGCTGATGTGAGCCGTGGCCAGGAATCTAACTCGGGGGGTTTAAGGGATTCTTGGCGCAGTGTGTGCGCGTAGCTCGGCTATTTTGTTGTATTCCCATGCCTTCTTATCAAGTCTTGCGAGTCTACCCTCATTATTTTCAAAAGTATGTTGTGTTCCGAATAATAGTACAAATATCACGTAGTTCCTTCTACAAGCTGTGAAATGCTTTCCAATATATATGTTTTGTAATCCTTAAAACTATAAGATTACAAGTGCAGATGAAGATGCTTAAACATGCAAACGAGTAAAATCTAAATCTAAAACAATATACACATTGATATTGGCAAATAACCCCTGCATGTGCCTAAACATGTCAAAGCTTGTAAGCTAAGCAGGGTTGTTTAAGCTTGGTGGTCTCGGCTTGGGCTCTGCGAGATCGCCAGGAGATATTTGCATAGCAAGATATTCCTGAATTCATCTGTGTGGAGCTGTCATTTTAATTTAATACTCCGTGTCAGAAATCATTAATGTCACGTGTTCAGTCATCCTTGATGTGGCTGTTGAGTAGTCTATGTCCTGTGTACTGACTCACCCCCACCACAGGAATGTGGAATACCCACCAATGGCTCAGGGCTGTCAACAGGAAATAAATGCTTCTACTATGCTCGTTCGAGCAAAAAACCGTTGACTTCTTATTTACGATTATACTTAGCCCGCAAAACGTCAGTTTTCATTAAAGTCTATCATCGCACGGAAGCTGTTGTTTTTTTATTTTTGTTTTTCCACAATATTTCTTTAAGTGATTCATATTAAGAACTCTCTTCCGACATCACGGTGCACAAACACACAGCACGTCCGGTTTAATTTGAATCAGCACTCTGCACGTCATGGTAGGATGCGTTCAGCAACCATCAGGTGTGTGTCGTGTGCGACGACTTAATTTGTAGTTTTTTGCCTAGTGCGGAGAGGCGTATGCATGTATGTCGAACTTCTTTCGCACCGTACCCAGCCAATCGTGCGAATCGGAGGTGCGGGGGAAGGACAACGAAACCAAACACAAAAAGCAGTTCTGAAGAAATGAGTTTTCAATCTAAATTTCAAAGTGCCTATTGCCAGTGGCTTCCTGGTATCGGAAGGTAGAGCGTTCCAGACGGCCGCAGAAGCGCGTCTGAAAGCGTGGCGATGCGGTGACCGCCGTCTTTGTCCGATTGGTGGGTTGTGAGGCGTCGAGTTTTGGAAACTTCATCGATGTGTCTTGTGTGTATAATTCATGCGTGCATATGCAGCTCTTAGCAAATGACCGTTTCATTCGAAACGTCCCCAACCTCATCCGACCTCGGAAGCTACGCCAGGTTGAACCCTAATTATGCTTGGACAGGTGACCACCATGCATACACATGTCTTAACGGCTGCTAAGTTGTCAGCATAGTAAAATTCAGCATTGCGCTGTACTTCTAAGCTCCCACTTCTTCTATTCGTCTTTCCTTCACTAACCCAGTGCGGGGATGTGTGGTCATATAACCCCCACATACCCAGGCGTGTAGAGGAGTGGCTCGCTGGCTCAGGGATACTGAGCCAGCACTCCTGATCCCCACCCCCCCCCCCCCCATGATAAAATAGGGTTCTCAAGCATTAGTGAGTTCATGGTCTCAGCCTGGTTACCGATGACTGCACAACAACAACAACAAAAACAATCGGGCTACATTCGATGTTCTGATCAATTTCGCAAAAAAATCCAACTCTGAGAATCGCAAAAAAGTACGGTAACGCTTTCGTTTGACTGTCACATGACAAACCAAATCCCTGCCGCAGAGCGATGCACCGCCCAGTGAAAGTCCCCAAATGGACTTGACTTTATCGAATAATGTGGGTTTTTTTTTAGGATACTTCACGCTTTCGCGACTTAAAGCACCTTGCATCAAATTACAAACCCCAAGCCATTGACATTTCACTGGTGCAGTCGAGCCAAGGGGGACCCCCCCCCCCCCACCGCCCAATGGCAGCTGTGCCTATACCGCACAAGGTGAACACAGGAGCGCCCCGCAAAACGGATGTATCTGCCAGTAGGTGGCAATGTTGCCGTGTAGTTTCATCGAAATTTAGTTACGGTAATTAACGTTGAAACACGAACTCATAAACTCCGTGAGGGTCCGCACGTCAACGGGTTGACGTGTATAAGTCGATGACATGAACAGGTTGCCGAGTTAACATTTACAGACGTGCATGCCGGATTGGTGCAAGGGTGGCACAGTGGTTACGCTCGCGCCTCACAGCAAGCAGGCCCTGGGTTCGATTCCCGATTCGGGCGCCTCTCTCAGTGGGATTTGTGCGTTCTCTGCCCGTGTTCTGCGCGGGTTTCCCTCCAGAGATAAAAAAAAATATCACGCACTCTAACTGCCATTGAACCAACATCACAACGCTGAAAAATAAGACTGCAAATCACTCAATTATTTAGTTTGTTGCCCTTCCCACCGCGCCTCCAATTAGCCGAATAAACGAAATGCATGTTCATGAAAGTGGAGGGCAAAACTGGAGGGTCCAAAGAGAAATCCGCCCAACCACGAGGTTGGATTCCGAACCCACGACCTCCCGCGTACCCGGAGGTCGCGGCTTTGAGGAGGTCTGATTGGCACGGTTGGTTCCGTATGGTGCAAAAGAAGTCCAACGTCCACGCATACATACACTGAGCAAGAGCGCTCTCCACTGTGAAAGATCAGCGTGACCCTCTTGAAATAGAGTATCGAGACTCAGCGAGGATTTTATGGGTAAACAAGCGAAGTGATACCAAAAAAAATCAAACATGCCGATAAGCAGATCGATCCACACGTGTCCACACTCGTGCACACGCATGCACACACACACACATCCAGACGCGTCAACACGCGTGGACACACGTTCACGCACACGAACATTTCAAAGCACGCAGCTCGCTTAACAATAATTGGCATTTGTAAGGCGCATTTCATCCATAGATTTCAATGCGCCCGTGTATGGAAGGCAATAAATGAACAGAACCTGTAGGGTAAATGGGCAGTACTAAGTGGTATCCAAAGGGCTGTTTAAAGAGGTGAGTTTTCAAGACAGACGTAAAACATACCTAACGACTCTGAGTGTCTTATTAGCAAAGCGTTCCACAACTCGAGAGGCACACTGTGGCAAAAAAAAACCCAAACACCCCAGCAAAAGATCCTTGACCTTGGAGTCCTCAGAAGAAGGTGATCCAAAGATCGTAGGGACCTCGTTGGGCAATATCTGTCGTCCTTCCCCTGCGCCTCCGATGGGATTGTTTGTCGAGGTACGGTGCCAAAAGAAGTCTGATGCACGCATGTTCGCACATACGTAGAGCTAACGTGAAATCGGTTCCTGCAAAACATCGCGGGGGCTAACCCATCGGCTGCTCGCCGCTGACGGAGCGGCCGTCGCTAATTTGACGACCGAGCGAAACCCCCGGGAGGGGGGAGGGGAAAGGAAAACAAGCGAAGCAACGACAACGCTGACTCCGGTGACCTTTTTGATCCGCGCGGTTCCTCATCCTCCTCCTCCTCGCAGTGCGGGCGATCCCCCTGACTGGCTGATCGCAGCGCCACCCCAGAGATGGCGACCTCCGGTGACCCCATGCTGACCTGCACACCCCGAGTCAAGACCTGGGGTGCCGAGGGGTCAGGGGAGGTCACCGGAATCACCAAGGGGTTGAAGCTGCAGCTGATGGGGTAGCTCCCTGGAACACAAAAGCAGGGAGAAGGGGGGGGGACACAGAGGGAGAAAGAGAGAGAGCAGCACTCTGATTTTGCTTCGCCCTTGTGATCTCAGAATCTTTATTTGGACTGAAGCAATCCAATGAGCTATGAAGCTCTTTTTGTAGATGTCCAATGTAAATATATCTTTACTCTTTTGTTCTTACGTGACTTTACCGAAAGAACCAAAGAGTATGGATTCCTGCAGTCACGAAAGCTTCAAATCTAGAGTAAATATATCTATTTGATTGTCTTCTTCAAAAGATCTCACCCCACAAAACTTGCAGGAACTAATACATTTTTATATGTATTCCATCAAGGTGCTTAAGATCTTCTGATCTTCAACTGCTCAGCACTCCCAGGTCTCTAGGTTGCGCTCCTTTTGGTGATCGGGCTTTTGCTAGCGTGGCACCCACTTGAAATCAGGCCATCGGAGTCGGTAGAGATATTTAAGTCTGCTTCGAAAACCCATCTTTTTCAAGTGGCCTTCCCTCTTCAGTTTGGTCAATTGCCCTGGCTCCGTTTTTGTTTCCTGCTTTCCACGCATGGCACATTGGGATCCTTGGATGGGACGCGCAGTATTCATTTTAATTATTATCCGCTAACATCCCACCCATGTCGAGGACGTGGTCTACCAGAATGACTGCTTCATCTCATCCGTACGGTGTTCGACCAAACACACACTTCTCTTTCCGATTTAAAGCTTTCGTGACTGCAAGGATTCATCTACTTTGGTTCTTTCGGTAAAGTCACGTAGAATGAGAATAAAATAATAAGTTGATAACATAAAATAACGCAATAATATTCTCACGACGTTTCGGCCACAACACAAGCGGCCTTCATCAGGTGAAGGGACGAGACTGTCTGGTAGGACAGAGCTGGAGTGAATATGAACAAATACCAGCGCTGTCCTACCAGACAGTCTCGTCCCTTCACCTGATGAAGGCCGCTTGTGTTGTGGCCGAAACGTCGTGAGAATATTATTGTGTTATTTTATTTTATCAATTTATTATTTTATTCTCATTCTACGTGACTTTACCGAAAGAACCAAAGAAGACACACTTCTCTGTTCACGGAACGCTTCTGATTTTGCGTCTCCTGAATGTGAAGTTGTAGTTGTTACTCTGCATCTACGTCAGCCATAGGAATGAAGAAGAAGAGGAAAAAGACAAATACGGAGAGAAAAAAAAACTCACCTACGGTGAACTCTGTACAGCCGCTTTGACTGTCCACTGCTGGATGAAGGCCTAGCCACATTGTTTTAGTCATGGGTGTGGAGTAGAATATGGCAGGCTTCACACTGCCTACTCTGCTAAGTGACAAACCATGACTAATGCCATCTATCAACGGTCTCCTGGTCTCCAGTGCAACAAATGAAGCCATGGGTGGTATTTGTTCATATTCGCCTTGAAGGGTGCGGGGTGCTGAAGGAGCGGGGGACCCGGGACTGGTTCGGGTATCACTCACCGCTGACGTTATAGCCGTGGCCGGGAATCAAACGCAGGTCAGCGGGGGTTCATAGCACAGTGCGCTCACCACGATGTACTCTATGTCAGCGTTGATGTTTTTTGGCCAAGCATTTGCTCCTCACAGGGCATTGATGATTCATCCCCCAATGCATGAATAGTATTGGTTTTGGTTCGTGATTATTTTGCGTTGTTTAACATTTTTTCCATCTCGTTCTTACGGCTTTTTCTCTTGGGAAGGTTTTTTTTTTTTTCTCAGTTTCTTCCCATTAACCTCACTTGCAACAGCGGTGCATTATTTTCGCGTTCGTCTCTCGCATGCGTGACTAAATGCATGCATGTTGGGAGCGCATGAGAATTGAATTCATTCCACCCGACGTTGCACGCGCGCCAATTCGCTCGCAAAGTCTTCAGCGAACTCACAGGACCCTCTGAAATACGAGTCGACATGTGGTCTGAGCAATAGCCCCTTAACACCAGTTGAATTAAATGAATTTTGCCAGAAAGGTACGCACAGGAACAAAATGCATTGCATCTCCCGTTAAAAGCAGCTCTGTGCATTGTCATTTATACCGTGCAATGCAATATAGTTCATTGGACTAACTTTCTGGCATTGCAGCACCTCACAGCGCTTAGACTATTGATCCGAGCCCAATAACGATTTTACCAGCCCGTTGCATGAAATAAAAATAAAATAACAATAATAGAAAAAATGTGACCTCCCCCACTCTGCTACCCATTTTCTCACCCCAGTGACTTCCACCGCCAACAATTGCCAGCGAAGTGAAATCTCAACGAAGCTAAAGCGGCCGTGGTGGCTGCCTTTGGGGCGGCCTGTGATGTCGACCAAATTGTCGTCCATCATGTCCCCGCGGCCACAGTTCAACATCTGACCTCTCGTCCATTACTGTAAAAAATAAAAAAAGACTCGCACGAGGGGTAACGCGGCTTTCCCCGTCTGCACATTTCCATCAACCATCAACCCGCTCCCCTTTCCTTTGTGTTTGCCTGTTGCCCTGTACCAACCGTGGGGAAGCTCTCCCTTACCGAGGGCTGAGCGGGACTTTGAAAAGGCTTTTGGTCGGCCACACTTCTGACACAAAAAAGACAACGATCCCCCGGACAGCTTTCACAAGCCGTTGGTAGCAAGTGCTGTTAGCGAGTAGCACCTATGAAGGCCCGGCCGCCTTTGTCTCCCCATTGGTGACGTTTACACACACCGCACTCATTTGGCTGAGTCGACCTAAGGGAGCCCCAGGGCCGGTTCATATAATCGCCACCAGTGGTGGCCGTGAGCGGGAATCGAACCCGGGTCGCCAGGTTCGCAGCGCAGTGCGCTAACCATTCCAATACAGAAGACAAAGACAAACACACACACACACACCTTAGGGTTGTCTGGAAAAAAAATCTCACTTTTTACCACACTAATTCGATGTCTGTGCCCGCTCTCTTCTCACTCACACATCGATGTGGAGATTGCAATTCAGTAGCAGACGCTCGGCCAAGATCAGTGCAGGATTAAGGTTACGAGGGGCCTAAGGCGAATAGGAGGGAAGTATTAGAAATTGTAAAATACCATGATGAAGTCATCAAAAATTTATTTACCGACGTAAAAGTAACGCGTTTATTTGAGTCAAGACACAGGTTGCTTGGGGAATTTGAGAAACGTGGCCATTGTTTAAACCGCCGCACCTGGGAGATGAAATCGAACCGGCGACCTCTGGATAATAAGTCCAGTGTGCTCACCGCTACATCACAGCAGCATCCTCATAATGACAAAAACACTTTTGCTTGTCGCTGGCCGATTAAATGGAAGAAAAAAACCTGAATAACGGGAGATAACTAAAGCACACGAACATAAACCGCGAGTACATATACATATATAGAAGCAGCCTGCATCAACAGCTTGCCTCCTACCTTATATAACCTCTTGTTGCAGCAGCACTTTCTCCTTCGTCAGCAGTTCTCCTGCCTTGTTGGTCTCACCTGATGACGAGTGCTTGCGTTGCGATCGAAACGTCATGATCTATTGATTTTCTACCTACGTAGAATGGATTCCTACAGTCACGAAAGCTTCAAATGAATATATATACCGTGATGTAAATCTATAGGTAACTATATGTAAATATATAAACTCACCTAGGGAGTAACTCGTGCCATCGTCTTCGATGAGTGACACGTGCACGTATTTCTGGCTCCGGTTGGCCAGGGATCTGCCGATGCCATCGGCAGAGAAGTAAATCACCACCGCCGTGGCGATCCGAGGGTAGGGGAAGTTCACCTGCGGCAACAGACCGCACAGTCATCAGCTTCATGAAGGCAATGGTAATACTCAACCATCCTCTGCCAATCCAGTGCTGCAAGGCAGGATTGCCCCGCATTCGTGTCGGTCGCTCGGTCGCTGGTCAGTGTGGCTTAAGCAGATATTATTTCGTTTGTATAAAAAAAAAACAAGTAAAAATATTTGTATGTTACCACATAAGGCCCACTGAGCTGTACAGCTCTTTTTCAGAAGCGAACCTGGCCACAAATGGTAGCGCCAACGAAGTGGTTTTAACACGTGGACATTTATAGCAGCCAACTACTCCCAACTCACGTTTGTAAATGCGGAGGCAAAAACCGCAAGACCCAGGAGAAAAATCCACGCGAGCACGGGGAGAACACGCAAACTCCAAACATACAGGCGTCAGGTGGGGTCGGGGACGAACCCGCGACCTCCTGCATGCCGGGCGAGGGAGTTAACATCTCGCTACCGCGGCACGTGGAGGTGGAGAGCATCAATGCCCCACGCCCACCCAACGGCGTGGCTCCGAACCTGACGACGCGAGACGAAGAGCGACCTTGGCGGCCCAGCGCTCGCTCACCCATATCCAGTAGGGGTTCTCGGAGGGGTATGTGTCGGGGTCGGCGGCCTGCAAGCACGGGAACCACGCGTAGCTCGACATGTCCTCCGGCAGCACCACGAACTTGCTCCGGCAGCCCTGGGTGGCGGCGGGGAGGGTGGAGAGGTCGCGGCCGTAGGAGGTGCGAGCGCAGCAGGGTAAGAGAATCAGAATCGGAATCTGCATTTTGACTTGGAGGCAGGAATCCGATTAGCTATGGCGTTCTTTTTCATAATCAGAATCACTATTTATCCTGAAAAAATCAGATTAACTATGAATCTCTCTTTTTTTAATGTCCAGTAGGGGCTGGTCAGCAAGTTACAACAACAATACAAAAACGGATAGAAGTGCAAAGTGTAGGAAAGGTAACCAAGTCCAGATAGAACCGTTCATCGCTTGACAGTCCAACCAACAGTTGCATTATCGGAGCTGCAATTGAAACCAAATGAAGTGAAAAACCTATTTATTCACACGCACTTAAGAAACCCGGTATCATCACGGGCGGCAGAAAACATGGATTCGAACCCAGGCTCCCAGAAGTCCTTGCTCAGTCTCTCTGATCCCTGAGCCACCCAGCCACCTCCTCATTGCTCTCTGTCTCTCTCTCTCTCTCTTCAGTGGTGGTGGGGGGGGGGGCCGCAGCCACATCAGATTTACACTCCAGGACACGGGAGCCCTGCGTGAGGCTGCCCTTTTCACCAGGGTGCCTTTCATTTTCCGTAGAGGCAGTTGGGGGGGGGGGGGTGCACGCTGCAGAAGAGATTGGCAATTTGCTGATGGAGAAAGGTTAGTCAAAACATCAGTTATCTTGCGGAAGGAAGTTCGCGAAGATTGAGTCTGGCCGTCGAAGCTCGAGCAGCGAATTATGCACGTGTTGAAGCGGTGCACTATTTACTTGCGCTCTAATGTCATTATGTTATCGTATAAAACTCTGATCTACGTGTTGCTCCCTCGCGTGCGCGAGAGAGAGAAAGAAATGGCAGAGAATGCCTTGAGTGACGGCGACATCACAAGAGATTCGGTGCCAGACAGATGTGGCCACCACGTTTGGGCATATTGGCACAAGTGGAAACAAATTACGAAATGTGATGATGATGATGATGGTTATTGATAGGCAATCCTGTAATCCGATTTGTCACAAGGGCTATGGCTAGGTTGTGAATCCTATTGTCTGTGATTATCTGAGAGTTTTGCTTCAGTTGTCCGAGCAGCATGGAAGAAAAAAAGAAACGAGATGAACCTGCTGCCAGGTGTTTTGTCCGCAGGAAGAACGTAGCGCACGGGTAAATAGTAAGTCGCACGGGACACGTAGATACGAGTTGTATGCGATAGCATAACGAGATTGGAGCACAAACAAATAGAGCACCAATTCCATCACGAACGCGGTCGCAGCACAGATGCGCGAGTTAATATCGAGCCTCCGAGCTAACGATGCACCGCATCGCGCGCGTAACAATACATTTATTACAATTCGTAGCTGTCGAATATCGTGGGTTCACGTGGCCCCGTTCCATCCACTGGAGGCCACTTGCATTCACCACAGTTTAATAAAAAAAAGAATCCATTCTCTAACCAAATTTGCCACCATTGAAATAAAGGGATGTTAGTTTCGTGCGCAGGACTGAGATGGATGGTGGGAGCGCTGGGTCGTGATCGAATGCGGCCGAGTGGGGAGAGGGCCTTCATCCAGCGGTTGATTTAAAGTGGCTGCCCACGACGATGCTAATGACTCAAATTAGCATGGTTTGGCTAAGTACGGTGCAAAAGAAGTTCAACATAAATTTGCAGCCTGTAATCACAGCCAATGCTTTGCCTAGCCAAGAGAACGATAATTTTCCCCCTACTCAGCGTTAACGTTGAAGGTGGGTGGATTTTTTATTCATTAATTGTGCTTGTACATTAACTCCTGTCACGTATGTCCCTTATTATAATGCTTTTTTACGTGGGCCATTGCAATGTAACAGAGTTGCAATGTGTCTAATATGCCTGAACAAGTCAAGCATGTTAGGCTCATTAATGGGATGTGCTCCCTCTGTCTCTGATGTAATAATAGGAATCACAGACGATCAGGAAGGTAGCCACGCAGTCATCCGGCGTCAACAATTGCCCAAGCTTTAGGGTCCTCTATATATCAAGGTGTCATCGACCAACTACTGAATGTTGGTAAGTGGGAGCAAAGTGTTGCACGCACCAACCTGCTGTGTGTGGGACGTTGAGTGTAAAAAAAGCCAAAGTGTTGTTCGGAGTAAAAACGTCGTGATCGTCGCGTTTTTTTTCTCACGCCCTACTGCTGGATGAGGGCTTCCGCCACACTCGGTGGGGCGGAGGATTTTGTCGCCGTCTCACCGCGTGGCTGCCGCCATCTTATCCCAGTCGACCGCGGTCGCTCCGCACGCCTCCGAGACCGTCGCCTCCGCCTCTCCGCTCGAGAGCGAGGACGAATACTGGCGCGCGGCGGCGTTACAAGTTAAAGTTACCAAATCGCGAGTGGCCAAAGCTCGGTATTTCAACCCTCAGCTCAGTTCTCTGACATGGTATTTAACTCGCCACTCTGTGCCACCTGGTCACCTCTGGTATTGGGGGGGGGGGGGGCTTTAACACTCTCACAAGGCACCAGGGAACAACTGGAATTCTGTTCAGGCAAATTAAATGCCTCATTGAGCAGCTTTTACTACCACTGTGCCGTTAAGCGTCCCTTGACGAGTTGCTTGTTTTGTTTTTTATTGGGTGCTCCCCTAATACGTTTGAGAGGATGTGCACTAATACCCACTGCGGGTTGTGCTTTCACAACTCGCCCATGTCTGACGTTTCGCAGCAGAGCATGCGGTGCGAAATATCGGATGTCGAGCAAATCAGAATCAGAATCTGAATATTTTATTATATTGGAGCAAGCCAATGAGCTATAAAGCTCTTTTTCACAGATGTACTAGTAGGGGTGGGTAAGAACAACAACATGATAGCAGTGCAAAGGGCAATGAAGGTAAAAAAAAATCACCCAAACGCATACAAATAAAACTAAACCATCCCAATTCTACCAGGCAAAGCCCACTGAGGTGTTAACTTATTTTTTCAGAAGCGACCCGGGCCACAAGTGGTCACTCCACAAAGCGGCCCGTCATTTGGACATTGATAGCACCAAAATAATCTAAATAAACACAATGCGTGTTTCTAACCCGAATTGGCTGTGCTCGTCCTTGTAAACAGAGTTGCTCGGCTCCGTCCGCTGAGGTGGCGAGATGTTATCTGCTTCAGCCTGGTGTACAGCACTTAGCATAGGTTCGATCCCGACTCATTGTAACCAATCGGCCGAACCTAATAATCCCCAATTCGTCTCGGCGAACATCCCCACGTGACACGGGCCGCCGTGCGGGAAGCGGCTCCCACGCCCCTCCGGCTCGCCGCGCCGCACTCGTGCGGACCTGCCCTCGGATCCGAGGTCGGCAGATCAAAAAAAAGACACAAGCGAGTGTGACGCACGGCGGCTCGAGTCCCGGGGGCTGTTCAGAACGCAACGGAGTGCCATTTCGCCCGCGTCTCCTGGCCGGGGAGGGGGTGCGTAGGACCCTCCCCCGCCTCCGCCTTCCAAGACACCAACCGCACTCCCACCCTCCCCAGGTAGAGAACACCTTTCTCCCATCGGACGCGGCAGCACCGTTGGCATGCCCCTTCTTCGGCCGTCTGCGGCAGCGGGTTTGCCATCTGTGGCAGCGGATCGCACCTTTCTTTAGCCCGCCGTCATTGTTTGTCATCAGCAGCAGCACATCAGCTGTGATCTATCCACAACTGGATGTTGGTGTCTCGGTGTCGGGACAGAATGCCATGTGGTGGCCGCTTTCAATCATGAGTGGGGGGATGAAATTGGCCCATTGTTGGGGCCTCTTTTGTGTGAGGCCTCCCCCCACCTCTCTGGGCTGGCCTGATCACAATCCGTACAACTACTGCACATGAGCTGATTTCATAGCTACATCTCTGTAGTAGGCGTACTCTTGGACAGACGAGGATTTCTTTACGTGACCATATTTCACCGCGTTGGCCAGAGCAGGTTGGTAAAGGTGGTGAAGGCAGGATGGCAGGACTGGTTTTGAATATCACTCGCCACCGATGTTATCAGCGGCCGGGGACTAAACTTCTGGCTGCTGCATTCATTGTGCAGCAAGCCAGTCCACGTTGCCACCACCCCACATTGACAACGCTGCCTCCACAAAAGCACCCACCTATATATTTATATTTTAATTGAAGATTAAATACTGATCTTCGCAGTCGGCAATGGCAGGTGATTGAAGAGTGCCGTGCCGGCACATTGTAAGCTAATGTAAACTGGCTACCAAGTTAAATGACCTCTCGCTGTGCATGTGTGTGTGTGTATGTGCCAAGTGCCACTTCAAGTAAACACAAGTGCGCTGTTGTGCATCTCAAGGGGGCAGTTCTTGGCACGTCGTGGCTCGCGGATTACTTGAAAGGAATGTGTCCCTTAACCGCACGCTAGCGACGATGCCTAAAGTCATTGGTAACATCTCTCTTTTTGGAGACTGTCTGCATTGGCATTTTATGCAGTGATTGTTGCTGTTGAGATACATTTTGTGAAATTTCAGAATGATATGAAATAAAATATGATAATGATAATAATAATATACAGGCCTTTGTCAATCCCCTGTTAGATGAAGGCCTCCCCCTAGGGCCGTGTCAATATTGGGTACTATTTGACCATACTTCACCACATTGGTTGGTGAAGGAGTGCGGCACAGGATCAGGTTTTCGTATCACTCGCTGCTGATCTTAGCTGTGGCCAGGAATCAAACAGCGTCCGAACCACTGCGCCACTGCTCCACCTGAAAACAGTATCGCTGGAGATTAAAAGAAAAGCGTTTGCAAATACTGTAGCTAATCTATATATTTATTTAATTGTTCATGAATGGTTGTGAGAAATGCCCTATTTTGGATTATAATAATTTACCAGCTCAGCTGTGGTTTGGATGAAAACTGTTTTAACGAATTGTGATAATCCCATTAGATTGTCTACAACCAAATTTTGCCCAAACGCATCCTGTCTTATCGGAATGTCAGAAACTAAGCAGCGGTGAGCCTGGGCGTAGTAAGCG